GGGGTCTATATAAATGCATACAGGGGTCTATATAAATGAATATCCCTGTATTTCCAGTAACAGCATTCGTGAGGCAAACTACCGATATTATGGTTGATGCATTTTTAAGAGAACTTTTTCAGTGTGCTCTTCTGAATTTTAAAGGCCGGAAACTTTCTTGATGTGTAGCGTCTAGTTACATCAGCCAGCAGACTGTGAAAAACGGTACACAAATCGAACTGCGCCAGGTAGAATAAATGCTGATCGACTCGTTTGGTTGGCGGACGCGTTGCCGACTGGACTTCTCAACACAGAATCGGAACTCTCTTGCTTGTTGAAATAAGTTACTTTACGGAAACCCTTTAGGGCTCTAGGACCTACCAGAGGTTTTCAGCTACGACAATCTATTTTCAGGGCCTTTATGCCTTCACACAAGACTCGATATTTTAGGGATAGATTGGCTTTTTTTTACCTAAGAATAGCATTTGCATATCTGACTTGCTTCCTACATGCAAATAGGCCCTTCCTTTCGCTTCTGTCGGTAACTTTTGTCGCGTTTTTTTACTAGCCACCAATGATCGGTGGGTAAGTTTCGGTGCAGAGCACATTCACGATGGGCGCATGAGACGCCAATTGTTGTCCTATTATATAATGAAGCTTCTTCTTTAGTGCTTTAGACGCCCAAACATCAAAGGCATCGTATTCAAATTCCGCATCATGAGTTCACAAGCCAATGCAACACCTAAGCCTTGCAGTACTGTCTGCAGTGATGAAATAAGATATATCGGAAGATTTATTTTTCAAAGGGTCCGGATGATAGTGAGAGAAAATTAGCTCTTCATTAACTTGACCTTTAATAGGGTATTCGTGCCCTTTTTGGGCATGCCCGCCTAAGCTACTAACTGCCGACCAACGACAAGCAAGGATCCCTTATCCTAACTTATCGCAAATCCATAGGCTAACTAACAGGGTGACGCCTCGGTATCACTTTACGCTCTACTCCATCGTATGTGCAGGTAAGGTGTTGATAAGAACAAAGACCCATCGTACTGCATCTTTCCTAGTTACATGGTAAGCTAGGATCGTGATTCCTGTTCTGAGTCGTAAAAGCTAGACCTGTTTCCTAGGGGCAGCAGAAGTCTCGGGGCAAACCAAGTACTTATTCATAGTTCAGTTTGTGACCGTGTGGACGTTGATTTGTCTGGTTTTGGCTGCGTACTAACAATCCGAAGACGAATTTTA